GTGGACCTATAACAGACATACGTGTTTGACATTAATGCTGACCTACCAGATGTTACATATATATATATATATATATATATATATATATATATATATATATATATCTATATATATATATATATATATATATATCTATCTTTGTGTATATATATATATATTAGCAATTATTTTGGAAGAGATTTTATGGGTATAAAAGACAAATTATTACACGAACATCCTATTGGGTCCGAATTATCGGATCGGGTAGCCTTTTGTTCGAAGGTTATGTTTTAACCCGATCCACATACGATGGTATATATGGGCCCAAAAGCCCAAACAAACATCTATATGATCCGAGGGCGGGAAACCGCGCGCTTTCTCACTCTCTTCTCCGTTCTACACTCCCGCAGTCGCCGCCGCCGGCGATGTCGATCGGAGTCCGGGATCTGACGGTCCTCGGGGAGTTCAAGCCCTTCGGCCTGGTCTCTGAGGAGCTCGAGGGGAAGCCCCTCGAGACCGCCCCCGAGGAACACCAGTACTTCCTCTTCCACGCCGACGTCGCTCGCGAGAGGGACGGCCCCGCCGCCGCTACCCTATCCTCTGCCGCCGTCTCAGCCGATCTCGACTTCTCTTCCCCCTCGCCCCCCTCCGACGACGGCGATCACGAGATCTTTATACGCGGCAGCCGGTAAAGCCCTCACTCCTGTCCCCACCTCCTCTTCTTCTTGTCTTCAAGAACCCTAGGGTGTCCGTGTTCAGATGCTTCTCGTCCTCTTCTTGTTTTCAAGAACACTCTTATATGAGTTCGTGTTCAGATACATTTCCTCCTCTTCATAATTTCAAGAACCCTAGCATCAAGGGTTTAGGTGTTGAAGAGTATTTCTCCTCATTCTCATATTCAAGAACCCTACCCTAATATCTAGGGGTTTCGTCAATTCAGAATATCTTGTTGGTTTGGCTGATTTTAATATTTGATTTCTTCTTTGAATGGGAAATGGCTTTTGTCTCTGCAATAATCAACGAGATCATCTCTAGTTTGTTTCATCAATTCGCGCTTGCTGATCTTTTTAGTATAGTTGATTCACAGTTCTAATGCGGAATTCTTGGAGAAATTTTCTTGGGTGTCCAAGAAATCAAGTGCAGCGTCTGGGATGTTGTTGTCCCTTTCTCGTCTCACTTCGCCTGAGCTCCCATGCTTCTCATCAGATGTTGGCCCTTTCTTCTTTAACATGAGAAGCAATATTTGTTCCTACGCCTTCTTCCTTAAAACACTGATGATTCTTTTTACTGAGAACTGTTTTGTAGCGGTTAAGTGGCTTGTCCATTTTCTGTTTGCCTTCTTTCAAAATTCTAATACTGTTATTAACCTAACCAGTGATGTTGTTTGTTGATAGGATAACATGGAGCACAGGGTCCCGGGTTCATAAACGATACAACTCTCCGAAAACAGTCATTATGGTATTCATATTATATTAGTATAACTTATGCTGCTTGTATTCTCGGAAGTGATTGCACTGATAACGGCTTATTTATATAATTTTAGGCCTGCTGGTGTCGCATGGAAACTATTCCAGATGCTCTTCTTTGTGTTCTGCAGATTGATACTTTATCGATTTATGGTGCATCTGGTGAGTTAGTTATTTCTTTTAAAAGCCAAATAGACCTTATATGCTTGCACTCCTTGAAAATGAGTTAACTCTTGTTGTTCTCTTGTATTTTTGTAGGTTCTTTTTCTTATTGGTTTTCAGTTTGTGTAACTAAATGGTCTTAAATATTAGGGTGCCCCTTCAAATGCTTAATCCTACTAAAGAAGTTAATGTTCACAAATTTACTTGGAATATTTTTCTACTTGTGTTTTTAGCCTTCTTTTAAAATTTTCATTTAACTACATATTGCAGGTGAGGTGGTTTGTATACCTCTACCATTTGCTATTGCATCTATATTTCCCCTTCCATTTGGTCTACTTCTACAGAAGGCTGTAGATGGGAACCGGCGAATATCTATCTCTGGCTCACCACTAAATGCAAGAGATTTGTCTCGTTCTGGTAAAGACTCTGGGTGGAATCGCCATGTATTTCATCAACTTAACTCTTTTGAGCCAGTTATCAAAGAGAACGAGGCAATAACGTCATCACATTTGATCCTAAGACATCCTTTGGAAGAGCCTCAGGTAGATTGATATCGGTTCCAATGTTGTAGGTCCATGTTTGTTTTGTGTTATTGCTATGTTATTAGATAACACTCTTTATGATTCCTTCTTCTGAAGATCTTGGGGTTCATTCCTGAAAATATACTTTGTTTTTTGGAACCCCTGTAGAATATTATAATGATTTTCAAGGGTTCTCTTAAATAACATGTCTAATATTGCTTCAGGAGAAGTAATTTTGTACAGTATTGGGTCTGTTTGGCATAACTTATGTGCTATTATTATTGTTTTGTAAATGAGATGTGCTTTAGTTTTCTTTCATCTCAATTTGTTTTTCTTTTGAAATTATTTTGGTCTTGATGTGGCTGTTATGGATAAGATTTGGACTCAGGTCTTGTAGGAACCATCAGGTTATAACTGGGCTAAATTGTGTGGATAGTCATTTGAAAAAGGTATAGAAATTAGAAATTGTGGGAAGTACTTATTGGTTCATACAACAGCAACAAGAAGCAATAATGTCTCAAGACTCTCAACATTTTTTGCGGTTGGTTTCATTTATGGCCATTGAGCTTTGCTTGAGACTATCCGTAATCTAACTATGGATGTGATATCTCTTTTTGTTGTTTCTAATAAAGTTTTCATGGTTCTTCCTTGCCTCTTGTCACGCCACTAATTTTGGTGGATTCACCTCATCAAGCTGTAGCATCTATAGGTCTCCTTGGGCATCTCTATGCCATCTCAATTTTCAAAAGAACAAATTGTAGAACTCAAATTACCATTGTATTTGTTTCTCTGGTTTTTTGTTCTTTGTTTTCCTTTTATAAACAATATTAGAACAGTAGTATTGCCAATGGGCCATAGTAGTTTAAGTATTTGACGATTAAAATAAGACAAGGAAGCATAAAAGTAGGTTCTGGCTTCATGTCCATCTGCATGGAACTATTCTGGCTTGAAACTCTTCATGTAAATGGTTATGAGGCTAATGTTTAGACAAGTTTGTGTAATAAGGTAAGAAACAATATGGTGCTGGCCAAACTTATCTGCTTGAATTTTGTGTTATTGACGAAGCATGTTAAATTTCTCTAGTATTTGATGGTTATTGAACAGTATATATGCTGTTTTCATGTTTGATGTTTCACCTATGCTTCTGTGGTCTAACGTGTATTTGTTTGATCATTTATTTTGTAGGCAACATATATTGAAGAATGGGGAAAATTCATTTTGATGAAAGATTTTGAGGAAAGAACTATTTGGAGCAGTGATGTTGTGCCTTTGATGGCATCATATCATAAAAGTCTGTCTAATTTATATTTGTTATTTTGAGGATCCTAAAGCATGCTGATACTTTATATTGTGGAACTGTCTTCACTGCAGGCAAGATGCAGCATTCTATTTGGCTTCTAGAAACTGTATCTCATTGTGAGGCAGAAACTGCTATGGTTGATGCAGTTTCAACTGAACTATCTAATCAACAACTTTCATTTAGGAGGATATGGCAGGGAAAATGTTCCCAGTCTGCTGCTAGTAAGGTTGTCTTTTTGCTGTTTTAATTAATTGAGACATGAAAACTTCAACAGCATTTAAAATTAATTTTTTTGTACTTGTGTCAATCCATGTTGCTGCTTTTGATCTTTGATGGATATTTGTATCACTCAAGAAACTTGATGCAACTCATCACCTTGGTTTCTTTTGTAACTATGAGTAATTCATTCTTCCATGATAAACTAGTAGTCAGAACAAAATAGTCTGTCCAGTAGACATACTAGTATAAATCTTTGTGAGTATATTTGACGTGTATTGGCGGACTTATTAGGAAAAAGGTTGGCCCAGTACATGAGACTCTCACTAAAGCAAAGTTTGGGGAGGGTCAACATGTGCCAGCTTCCTTGTAAACAAAGAGTTTGTTTCTGTGACTTGAACTTTGGTCACTTTGGTCTCGAAGTGGCAATCTTACCATGATGCCAAGGTTTGCCTTCTTGTATTTGAGCACTAATAATTTAAAAAAGTGCTCAGATGTTGATTAAGACTAACTGACACACATCAAAGCTCAATGCTGTCAGTCCCAATTCACATGAACTTTTTTTACACCTTTCAGGTTGATTAATAAATCAAATAATTCTCGTATCAAGTTTTTTTGTTTTTAATTCAGGTTATACTTTGGGTGCATTATCATTCATTCTCTTTTTACCAATGTAGTGCTTCAATTGACGTGTTGGTTTTGACAAATTTTTAAATTGTCAAGAAATTCACAAGAATCTAGACAATGTGCCCATGGACATTGTCATGTCTGATATACAGAAGAGAACATAATATTTATCTAACTCACAATTGCAGTTCTTGGTAAAGGCCACTGACTAGTGAATCATGTTAAATAATTTCATCTGATGAGAAGTGAAGCTCAAGATCTTTTCATGGAATTCCTCCTAGGAAACCACAATCTGGTTGTGTGCTTCAACCTCCATTGTTAAGCTAGAATGTGAAGTTAGGAAAATACTTTTGTACTAAAGGTTAATCCTACCGTGGGCATCAACTGATATCTCCTCGTGTGCAGCTAACCACCTTGTCTTGTGATCACAATTAATCTTCTTTTAAGTTTTAAGACCAATTTTTTGTTGGTTGGGTTTCATCTCTAAGTTTAAAGTTTAATTTGACTTGCTTAACCAGGTTTTTCTTGCTACTGATATGGATGGAGTGCCTATTATTTGTTTTTTGCTTGTTGACCAAAAAGTACTACTTGCTGTAAGGCTTCAAATTGATGAAGGTAATGATGAGGCTCTTGTGGATATCAAGCCACATATGAGTTGGAGTATCCCTGCACTTGATGCTGCATCTGTAATTGTGACACGTCCAAGGTGATGAGAGCTTTTATTTTTGTTGATGCTTCCAATTATTGCAATCATCATCACTGTGTTATTTTCGTTGCAGAGTCGAAGTTGGGCGTTTACCATTTAGTGACATTGTTGTCTTGGGTGCAGAAAACCATCTTCTTTTATATGTAGGTTTTTCATTTTTCTAGCTGATCTAACTTCTCTACAGCCTTGTTTTATCTGCTTTTAAAATTTGATTACTCTAATAACCCTATGCTTCTACCACACTGAAGCCGTTTAAACCTATTTAGCAAATGTGGTTCATTGTGAAAAGCTAGCTCCTGATAGAAAATTGTTTAATTTTTCTTGTGATGTCACTAATTATTACCATTATAATTTCCCAATTTTTGATGCAACAATTGTGTTCTAAAAACTTGTCAAAGTTCAATTCTGTTAACACAAGTATCTGATGTGGGAACGTTAACAATTTGTTTTTGATACTGATTGTATATCATTAGAAATGCTTTGCGCTATTCATGAAGACATCAGGCTTATCATGGGAACCTCATATATTGCCTCTTGCCAACTTCCTGCGGTCTTTAATGAAAAAAATATCCTTTTGCTAATAGGCACACTGGCCTTTTTTATTTCTCCATTACTGGTACTGTTCTTCTCCATTCCCTCTCTATTGGTCCTTTTCATCTTTATGTTTATGCTCGTCTTCATCCATCTTCGTTCTCGTCAACTCTTCTTTGTGTTGATGGCTCTTTCATATTACTCTACTACTTAGTTTTAGCTGAATGGTAAGTCTCACATCTCTTGTTATTAAAACTTTTTATCTAAAGCATTCAATTTTTTTAGGACTGAACTTGGTTGGCTTAAGATTATTCGGTGCACTTGCCTCACAAATAAAAAAGGAACTCTTAAAAATGGTTACCCCTCAGCTTATCACTTTTGGGTTGTTGAAGGTATTCTACACTATCAATAGGAGAATGTTTAGGATGTGCCATAAATTTGTTAATGTCAGTGGAGGAAGTGTTCTAGATTTTTTTTCTTCTTTCTTCATGTCCTTTTTCTCTCTTTTTTCTTTATCCTGCTAGTTTGGCTATGTTAGTATGATGTTCTGTTGGATTTTGTTTACGACCCAGAGTTTTGTTGGAGAATGACACCAGAAGTCAGAATCTATATCACATTCCTGTTGATTACAATATATATGTCGATCATTTTGGGTTTAGATTGAAGACACAGACATACTTAAAAGGTTACAAAATAGCAACATTGCTGACTGTTAACCACTAAAACTTACAAAACTTCTTGCACTATCTTTTGTGGAGTCAGTGTTTTAGTTTATTTTCTGATCCTAGTATCAACTAATGTCGGGTATATTATGTTATCATCTAGGGAATTTCGTATGGAAATTGTCATTATAAAATCCTTTGTACCATTATCTTCTTATTGTTGCGTGTTTCTTTGCAGTCTACTTTGTTATTGCACTTGCATAATCATTTATTTATATCCCTTTGGATGCCTTCATCTATCTTTTTCTAGCTTTATGGATTCACTGACATTTAAGGATAAGAATCATAACTTTTAGGTACTTAAAGATCAATGTGTGCAATAGCTATTGACAACATTTAACTCGGCAACATAGTCAAAGATTTCTCTATGTGTTGGAGAATTGAATTTAATTCTTCTGGGTTTTCAATATTTGTTTTGAAATCAATGATGGGTGCTTTCATACTTTAGTTGATGGATATGATGTTTATGCAATTTTGGCCTTCTGAAATATTCAGTGTACCAAAGACTAGTTCAGTTGGAGTTATGTTGGTTTGGAAGCTTATTTACTAGACCAACTCAACTTATTAATACAACTAACCAACCAACCTTGAGAAGATATCTAACACACATAGGTATATATTGGTTAAGCAACATCTCTTTCTTTCCCATTTCTGGTGTTTCTATTCTAGATCTTGTTCATTTAAATTTTTTAATAGCACTGAAGTTCAAGCCTTATTTTTATTTGTTTCTTTGTAGTTGCTCTTGATTTAAAAGTGTATCTTTCTCATTTTAATTCTGTTCCAACTATTTTGAAATAGGAAGTTTTGGGGAAGAATAATCATAAATAATAGTTTGTATTCTTTACTATTAAAATATGGTGTTCTAACTGGAACCAGGTTTAGAACATGAATTCAAATTTCGATGTTATCCGGTATCTAGCATTTGGACCAATACTTACTATCTAGTATTTATGATTTTATCAGCTTTCGGCGTGTGAACTAGGCAAACAAGTGGGCTATACTGGTCCATACTGGGCTTACCGCCTGGTAAACAGCAAAACTAGGCTTATTGCTTATCTCACACCAAGAAACCTGGACCCCAACACACACCACTATTACCATACTATTGCAAGTATTGATCAATACCAACATTGGACCGATGTTTGAACTCTTGATCTAGAGGACTTGAAACTGTCTGCAATCAATGTTGTTGATGCAATTTTGTTTTTGTTATTTATGCAACTGTGCGAAAAAAATATTCTCGATAGAAATGGAACACTAAAATATGATTTTCCATTTTTACGTTCAAAATTAGTGTTAATCTCACTTTTCTGTGACTTATTGTGTTATTATCAATATGGGAATCAGTTGTATTGTTCTATTGATGCTGAAAAAAATAATAAACCTGTTTTCATAGTGAGGTTGACTTGACCATATACCCACATTAGTTTAGGAGCAATATCATGTTATTTGCATGTTGCGACATTTGAAGTTTTCTGAAATGATTACTACATCATAAAGATATATGCTTGGCAATCAAGAATTATCGAACAATTACTTTAGTTTTAAGGTTTTTCCTGTTTAATACTAATGTTAAATTCAAGGATTGAAATATCGTATCGTATCGATGTTTCGAGCTTGGCTCGGTACGCTATGGTGCCGTGTACCGAGTGGTACGCCAGGGCATACCGAGCGGTACATTTAATTTGGGTGTAAAATCCTCCAAAAATACTTGAAAATAAAAAAAAAAAGTTAGGATAGAGTTTTTAAGTTAGAAATAAATATAGTAATAGCATAAGTTTATCAAAATCAATGTAAATTAGGTAAGAATAGTATTACATATCTTTTTCGGGCTTTGAGGAATAGTCTTGTGCAAGGTTCGTATTTCAGTTTGTTACGGATTATCCTTCTGTAAATATTGAAATATCTACAGAAAAATCATTTGAATTATTAGATTATTTTGTTACAATATAAATTCTAAAATTCAAATGAATTAAATAATCACATAGATATACTTGATTGCTGATTCTACCACCAAAACCACCTGATTACATATCAATATGATATGTTCGTTGGACCCAATCATGAAATTGATCCCACGACATAGTGTATTGATACACTGTATGCCATTGATGCATCAATGTGGTGATGATCGTAGGCTGATCGTCATGAATCACATTTGTCTGAGGCAGCTCCTGAGGTATATATTGGTGAATGTCAGAGCTTTTACTTTCGCTGCTGATATGCTGCTCTGTATCATACTGTTGCTCAAAGAAGGATGACCAACTATCATCGTACGGTTGTTGCTCGTATGATTCTCCATAATACGACGACTGTGAATATGATGAGCTTCTTTCCGTGTCTATATCATGTAGGCTCTGTTGCATCTGCTCAAATTCATCCATTGCCGTCTCCTTCCCCTTCTCCTTCCCCTTTCGCACATAAACTTGACCAGTACGTTGTCGAGTTCCATGATCTGAATCTTGGGTGACATATGTAAAATATTGTTCCTCGGTCCATGCACCACCCTTAAGTTATGTAGACGAGACCAACAACTGCCTGACATCGCCGCCATCATCCGTCGAGGCATTGTTGCCCGTGTTGCTGTCATGTCTCTGGACCGAACGAGTTGCTGAATGTGATTGTGAAGGTGTCTCGTCGCCCAACTCGATTCTTTCCAATGATGCGACTGATGCTATTGTTTTCCCTTTTGCCTTTGGACGTTGGGCGAACGACTGTGATCAGTGGGTGTCTGTAGTTCCTCGAGCAGTTTGACTCGATGTTGTTTGACTCCTGCCAGTTTATGATCGAGGGGGATTTTCCACCTGTTGGGGTTGTGCTTCTTCTTCTTCTTCTATTGCCTCAGTGATAAAACGCGAAGGACACTAAGGATCTCTCGCCTCATCAAGTAGAGGATCCTCTTAGTTCTCTACTGCTTCAACCCAATCTAACATTGACACCGAATCTTCATTGTAGAATTGAAGGTCGATGGGATCAATATCTGGTTCCTCTGGCTCCTTATCCAACTTAGCACATCGCAATCTTAGCCGCATGTTATAATGGACATATACTAGTTTCTCTAACTGTCTTAAGGAGAGTTTGTTACGGACCTTCATGTGAATCAATGCAAACGTTGACCAATTACGTTCGCAACCACTAGTTGTTGTATGTGAAAGTACACGAATGACAATCTTTCTTAAATGTGGTGTATCCCCTCCAAATTGTAGCTATCACTCGATTACAAAAAGATATAAATAAGATCTTATTAGCATAATAAATAATTAACATTAAATATAATTGATAATCAATATGTGTAACTTTTCCTCATCAGGATCCATAATGTAACGACACAATACAACTACAACGTCGGAGAATGAAGCAATTGTTTCTCGAAATAATCGACCCTCCATAAGAGCATCGGTTGCATCAGTAGTGTTTGACAATAGCCCATATATAACATTTTGTAGTGCCGTTAATAAATCATTTTGCGTTCCGATAGCATACCGATATTGAATTGTCGGGTTTAGATAATACGCTGCAAGATATAATTTTATTAGTATGATTTTTTATTATCTAAAAAATAATAAATTAAATTATTTTGAATATGAATTTACCTGCATTATGGATATCTTGATCCATATGAACTTCGATCTGACGATCAATGATCCGTACGTATTGGTCGGTCTTAAAATCATCTTTGAATGCTTTCCTGACCTCGTCTCTTGCTGAAATCAGCATATATTTAAGATACGACATCTATGAATGCTTGTCCATATCGACCTTACGGAGAACAATATAAAGTGGTTCCACACCTTTTATGATTTCTGTTGTGGTCTCCCAAAATCTAGAGGAAAGAATTGACTTTTCTATCTTCTTTCTATCGCTCAATCTCGAATATCTGGAATTGGACCACTCTTGTGAGGTGACTATTGCCTTCAAGCTATGTCTTTTTTTGCTGTAATAACTTTAATACAATAAAATTGGTAGCAAACCGAGTAAATCCAGGTCGGAGTATCTCACTGTTTACATACTTTTGCATTATAAAGCGTCGACCCAATGATATAAACTTTGTAATTGATTGTGCTTGAGCTATACAATTCTTGCCTGCGTCCAGCTCACTAATATCCTTTAGCATTAAATCTATGCAATGAGTTGCACATGGAGTCCAAAACAAAGTTTTTTTTTTTTCATTAATTGTAAACCGGTCTTTTTGAGATTCGCTCCATTGTCGGTTATTATTTGGACAACATACTTTGATTCGATCTCCTCTACTATGGTGTCCATCAAGCTCTCAATGTAGTTTGCATATTGGATCTTTTCATAAGCATTAACTGACTTTTCATACACCACTCTTCTATAGCAATAAATAAGAAAGTTGATGATACTCATTCTTGTTGGTCCTGTTCAACTGTCACATATCAGTGTCACCCCATATTCGTCCCATTGCCTCTTGAAGGAATTGATCCAATCCTTCAGTTCTGCCACCTCCTCTTCTAAGTGCACGTTGTAAATCTCCCTTGGTGTTGGAGGTTGGATTCCTGTGTCAGATTTTTGAATAGAAGAGACCATGCTCTAGTAATATGGATTTTGTGTTGTGTTGGCTGGAATCATGTGGAAGTTAAACTATTTTGAAATTGCATTCCCAATATCTCGTTTTTTTTCTTTTGTGTATACATCATCAATCTGTGTTTGTTTCGCTGTTTGTGGGGGATAGGTTTGCGGATCAATATCAACAATATCTGGTGCGAACCTCTTGCTAAGACCTCTCATAAAACCACGGAGTCCGCCATACCTCATGCTTACTAGTTTGGCCTAACTGAGGAGTAGTAGTTGGTTGTCTCATGCCGGTCGACCTCTGGGTTCCACTACCACTGTCATGCTCCAATTGTGAGTCAGGTCGTCGTTGCCTCATTGCTTCATCGACCGTATACTGATGCTCCAATGATGCACTGATCCCAACTGTGAGATCCGGGTCGACTTGATCGCCATAACCTTCATACTGATCGTAAGTTGGTTCCTGTGTAACCCCATAATATTCTTCCTCAACTCTTGTCTTCTTTTTTAATGTTTCTTCCTTTGCTTGTTGTAGTTTGCTTTGAAATAATTTACGGATCTCTGTCGGAACTTTCTTGCATTTTGCAACATCAGGATACCCGTCGGCCAAATGCATCTTCACCCGAGTTATTCCTCCACCCTTGTCAATGTAGTCACAATAAATATATTGCCAATGATATGATGATTCTCATCTATCTTTCAGGCACGAACCCATGCATCATCATGTAGCTGTTCCTTTGGTGTCATGATCCTGCCAAATTTAAATCAAATAAGTTATAAAGTATAAATATATTAAATTGACCAAATATCGATAAAAAATCACTAATCGTAATATTAAATAATTTTTTTAAAATATAACTAACCATATTTTATCATCATAAATATGTTACATACATAAAAGAAGCATTAAATATATAATTTTGATCCAATATGGGTCAAATTATGATAAAGTCATCATTAGATGCATTAATCACCTGATTAACATAGTTAATTATCCACTAATTACTTCTCTTTCAACATGGTAAACATGTCAAATACCCTAATAGACATTAAAGACATTAAATTAACTTAAATTTGATCAAAATTTGATTAAATCATTATTAAAATGACTAATTACAACATTAAATGACTTTAATGAAACCTAATTAAACCTATTTTACCATTATAAATATGTCAAACACATAAAAGAAGCATTAAATACGAAATTTTGATCCAATATAGTTCAAATTACGATGAAATCATCATTAGATACACTAATTACATGATTAACATAGTTAATTATCCACTAACTACTTCTCTTTCAATATTATAAACATAACAAACACCTTAATAGGTATTAAACACATTGAATTGAAATAAAATCAATTAAATTTTGATTAAATCATCATTAAAATGATTAATCGTAGCATTCAATAACTTTAATAAAACCTAATTAAATATATTTTACTATCATAAATATCTTTCAATATTTAATATGCATGAAATATAACTATTTGACCAATTAAGTGTCTAATTTTGAATTAATTAATATTAAACGTACTAATCATAATATTAAAGATCTTAATTACCGGTATGCTATGGTATGTACCGAGCGATATTATTCGAAATTGTATACCTTGGTTAAATCTATATCTTTCAATTGCATATTTATTCTATTTACTTAGATCATCTTCTATCAAGATGTTTATATACTTATGGATGAATATATTTGGTGCTGTATGATCATGAAACTGATTTTTGTTCTTATCAATATGTTTAATATCTTGAAACATGTTATTTGTTACTTGTTACTAACCGATTTTTATTCTTCTCATGGTTGACAACCTTATGATGGTCACATAATCCTAAGAGCTTCTGGTTGCCTATAATTATTAAGAAAATTACATTTTAGTAATGGTGTTTATAGCTGTCCACTCTTTCTTTTGTTCATGGAATGCTGATATTTATTGTTAAATGTTGGATCTGTTATTGAGCAAACTTCTTTTTTTTGTGTTGCAGTCAGGCAAACAATGCCTTTGCAGGTACTTACTGCCTCTCCGACCGGGGAAAAACCTTTTACGTAGCAAGCATTCTGCAGGGACAACAGACATGTGCTCTGAACTAACGATTACAGGAATTAAAGATGCTGTTGAAGGCCGCATAAATGTGATTGTAAATAATGGACAGGTGATATTCTGCTTGATAGTTATTTATTAATGTGATAATGACAGACATACTTACTGTTTATTTCACTCAGAATCTGTATGTTGTCACCCTTCTATTTACAGTTTCAGTGATCCTTTTTTTTCTTTTGTCTGTGAGTCAGTAACAGTCTTGTCATTTTGCAGATATTCAGATGTTCACTACGGAGAAACCCCACTACATCTCTGGCAAATGACTGCATAACAGTTATGGCTGTGGGACTTCAATTCTCCTTTTACAGTCATTTTGCCACTCTTCTCTGGGGTGACTTTGGTTCTGCTTATTTCTTCCATTCTCGTCCTCATACAGATTCTGAGTGGGATGCCTTTGCTGGTGCGGTGATGAGGATCTGCGATAGATACGGAACCAGAATGCAGAGACAGAGCCCTCCAGTGTCTGGTGCAGCTTGGGAATTTTTAGTTAATAGCAAGCTTCACCTTAGACACTCAATTGGGCGAGGTATCTTTTCTATGAACATGCCTAATTGTAGTGGTGCTGACTACAACGATTCTCAAATACAAGATGAGCAAAACGAAGGGAGGCCATTTTATTCTCAGCTTTTGGCGGAAACTTTGGACTCTTTGCACTGTCTTTATGAGAGTTTGAAGCTGGATAAGTTGCGAAAACAGTAAGTTCTGGTTTCTTTTGCTTTGTGAATGATAATGTACTCTTAATTATGCAATTGTATATTTCATTGGTTCAGGTCTTTTTGTACTTCAGTATTATTGCTTGCTGTTTATTTATTATTCCTGTGTCTTGGTTCAGTTGTTAGAGATTTGAAAGATGTCTAATAGTAACATTTCTTAGGTATATATTATATACATTGGCTGGCTTGGCACTCCAGACTATGAGCTAGGATTTAGGCATTTGTGCTTGAGTGATCATGATACATGACATTCTGCTACTGATTTGCAATAGTTAGCACCCATTTGGCATGCAAATATGCATGTCTATAATTATGGTTTTGGTGTTTGAGCATATTCTGTCTTCAAGAACAAGTTGAACCTGTTATGTTGGTGCAAGCTATGAGATAGTATATGTTTTATATTTTTGGTCCAGAAGCAATTCTGGTCTAACAGTTAGCATCCTTTAGGAATGCAATTTGCATGCCCATAATTGAATTTTTGGTGTTCGATCATATTTTGTCTTTAGTGAAGAACAAGTTAAACTTACTGTACTGGTGCAAACTATGTAATAATATGCAGTTGTAAATCTTGTTCCAATATTGATACCAGTCCTCCGACTGGTACGATATTGATATACCTGCTTTATGTACCAGCTTGTCTGTTATAAATACCCGGCAATAATATACACGTGACCTGACTTCTATGAGGCACTATTATTATGTTTTAGATTATTCTTTAGTTGATTGATCATGTCACATGAATTCAATGTTAATAGTTCTTATTTGTTGTACTTCCAGAGATGTTGGGCAACTTGTTACACTGTTATTTACTATTGCTGCTTCTTTGGGTGAGGAAAATTACGTGGACTACTATATTCGTGACTTCCCCTTTCTTTTAGCTGAAGGTTGTTCTTTCCATTCATGTGCTTCTCCAAGAACTCCTCCATCTTTATTCCGATGGATTGAAAATTGTCTGCATAAAGGATACCATGTGTCCAACATGAAGAATCTTCCCCCTTTATTATGCAGAGAGAATATCTATGTTGTAAGTTGGGCCAGAAAGATAGTGGCATTTTATAGTGTACTTGTAGGCGCAGAAAGGAAAGGTAGGATACTATCAACTGGAGTTTATTGTGAAATTGCCAATGGATCAGCCAGAACGATAGAGGAGCTAACTGTCCTGGCCATGGTTGGTGAAAGATTTGGACGTCAACAACTTGACTTGCTACCTCTTGGTGTATCTCTTCCGCTACGTCATGTAATTGCCTACCACTGTTGCTATGTTTGCTTCGTCATTGTGCTAATTCTATGGCCATTGCATTTACTGAAGGTTTTACAGTTTGGGGTTCCCTTACTGCATCTTTGTCTCTGCCTGTTTCTCATTTTTTCATTCTCATCATTTTGTTTATGATTTTTCTAATTATTACCTGTTAGCAACATTGAGCACTTATTTATTAGTGCATCATCTAGGAGGTACAATGCTTGTTTTTAATATACTTGTTAGATTAATTGACTTGGGATGTAAATTTATCACATTTAAGGCTTTGGACAAATGTCGAGAATCCCCTCCAACTGACTGGCCTGCTGCGGCATATGTTTTGGTTGGTCGTGAGGACTTAGCCATGGCATGTTTGGGATCCTTGAGCAAAGAGCATGGAAGTCAAGGCAGTTTGAATTTAGTAGCCATTTCTGTACCATACATGCTTCATTTGCAGCCTGTATCTGTACCTTCGTCACTCACTGAGATCACTGGTTCGGATAGTATGAAGCTTGAGGACTCCGAAGCTCTTCATAGATCCTTGGAAGATGGTATGGAGCACATCTATAACTCAAGCACCCAATTGCGATTTGGCCGTGATCTAAGGTTGAATGAGGTTTGTACTCTCGTTAGACTTGATTAATGCTTATTGCTATATATTATACACAATCATCGACTAGAATTTTTATGCTTTGTCAATTGATATGCAACCTTTATGGTATACATGTAATGTCTTTTTATTTCTTGGAAATGCATTTGAAATGACTTAAGGAGGTCTACTTTGACTGACCAATTTTCACTTCTGCAATGATCCAGCTATAATTGTGAATCACATGACAGCATTGTGTATATATTTTGGAGGTTTACTGATGAATCTTTTGATTGTTAATGTCTAATTCAATATTAATAATCTTTCGTAAGTGTGCATGCTCTTTTATCACTATTCTTCAATTTGTGGGTAGATCTGGATCTTATATTGTAAAAGGAGAGGTTCAATTGTTCCTCTCCTTGAGATCATCTCCAGTTTGGATCTAGTGGCTCATATGTTTTGTATCTTGGTCGTCCTGTCTAGATTTGAATCTTATATTCCTATATTTGCCATCTAGCTTATCACATGTAGTTTTTTCAAAGTGATTCATTCATTCATTATTTTGCAACTCGCATGTACATACCTTAGGTTTTTGCTGCACAGAGTACGTGGTTGTCGTTGACTTTTTTTCTTCTGTTTATGTTTCATATGCTCTTAAAACAATCTGATCTTCTTTTTATAGGTTAGACGCCTTTTGTGCTCTGCGAGACCTGTGGCTATTGAAACACCTGTTAATCCTAGTGCTTCTGATCAAGACCTGCAGCAGGTAATCTTGATATTATGTTGTGTGCATTAAAATTTTTGTTTGCTACTTTGCTTGATATATTATGATTTTTTCTTATGAACATTTGACATGTCAATTTTGCCATATGAAAATGAGCATAGCAGAATTACAATGGTTATAGAAAAAGTATTTTAATAATAGTAATGCAACCTTCAAGTTGTGTTATATTACCTAGGCTATTTGAGTTATAATGGCACTATTTTATCAGGCATTACTGCAGTAATGCACTTAATATGGTTTGAGGCCTCCCTGTTCTAGACTTATAGTGGTAATTGTCTGCTTTAATATGAATCAACATTTTTATTTCTCATTTTTTTGCTTTTATTATTTTATAGTGTGCTATTTTTTAATTTTAGAATAGGCACATATGTAAGTTGCATCATTAGGTCATTATGATGTCAAATTTTATAATGTTATCCCTGTGCCTATGTGCTTGTTAGAACCCTTGCAGATTCTAAACTTGGGGCTGATCTCTTTAGGGGATCGGCCTCCTTGGAACTGTATAGGGGTTCCTCCCTCCAAGTTACTGCTCAAAGGCTGCAGAAAAGATTCATCTATTGCTAATGAAAAGAGGAGGAATACATGGCTATTTATAGGGCTTCTAAACCCTAACTCCTAATAGGATTCCTACTCAAGACTCCTACTTCTAATCAACTCCTAATATGACTCCTACTTAAGACTCCTATTCCCTTACAACTTCTAATTCTTCTCTAAGAAATAACCTCCTAACCCTAGCCGGCCTCTTCACCTCTTTAATAAGAGTCGGCTTAGGTAGGTTTTACATGAATATCCCTCTCAATTAGGACTCTCTTAGCTAGAGTCTTAACAGATCCGTCCTCTTCAAATCAGCCTTGTCCTCAAGGCTGAGATTCCATCAACTCAAGGAACCGGGTCTTCAGCTCCTCATATGGTTCCCATGTGGCGTCTTCAAGTGGTAGATTATTCCAATGCACTGGTACTTCAGTAGAGGGATGTCGGCGACGCATCACGATCCTGCGATCGAGGATGGTTTGTGGTTGGGCTTGAATAACTCCATCCTCAGTTGTGTTGGGCAGTTGGATCTGGGGTGACTCGTGTTCTCCCAACTTGGGCTTTAGGCATGATACGTGAAAGACATTGTAAGAGTTGTAAGAGTTTGTCCCTATCAATCAATTCTTGGTCAACCTGATCTACCTTGGCCGAGCCAATTACATACTTTTGAATCACAGGGGCTGGTCGACCATACAATGCTTCATAAGGGCACATTTTGTAGATGAATGATATGTAGTATTATACCATCATTCGGCCCAGGGAAGCCATTTCGCCCACTCTTTTGGTCGGTCGCTAGCGAAACACCGGAGGTACGTCTCTAAGTACCTATTTACCACCTCTGTTTGGCTGTCAGTTTGTGGATGATACGCTGTGCTCATCTTTAGTTTGGTGCCTTGTAACTGAAATAACTCGGTCCAAAATTTACTAGTGAAAATCCTATCACGATCACTTACGATGGACCTTGGCATCCCATGCAGTTTAACAATATTTTCTATGAAAATCTGGGCAATACTAGCGGCAGTGTAGGGATTTCTCACAGCATAAAAATGAGCATATTTCGTAAGTCGATCAACCACCACGAGAATCGTACTTTTACCTTTGGAAGATGGCAGCCCTTCAATGAAGTCCATGGAGATGTCAGTCCACACTGAGTCTGGTATGGGTAGTGGTTGTAGCTTCCCTGGATTTGCCACAGTTTCATCCTTGTGCTGTTGACATAGATCACATTGTGCCACATATTCAGCAATAATTTTTTTCATCCCTTTCCAATAAAAATTTTGCTTCACTCTTTTGTAGGTTCTTAAGAATCCAGAGTGCCCTCCTGAAGGTATGGAATGCATTTCATGCAAGATGATTGTGATGCAAGGGGAGTCAGGTATAAGCACAATGCGACCTTTGTAGCGTAGATCCCTCGAATCCCAGGTGTAGTGTGCTATTGCACTTGGATCCTCCAATTTTTTTATGATGTTGTTGATTTCTGGATCCTTCTTCCATTCTTCCCTAATGTCCTCGAGGAGACCGGTGGTAGGAAGGGAGATGGCTGAAACCTTAGCTTGTTCAGGTAGCCGTGAGAGTGCATCTGCAACAACGTTTTCTTTCCCCTTTTTGTAAATAATTTCATAATCAAATCCAAGAAGTTTGGTTACCCATTTTTGCTGTTCAGGGGATGATATCTTTTGCTCCAAAAAGTACTTGAGGCTTTTATGGTCAGTTTTAATTTGAAATCGCCTGCCGATCAGGTAGGGTCTTCACCTCGTTACTGCGTGTACAATGGCAAACATCTCCTTATCATATACTGACATGTTTTGATGGGAGGGAGATAATGCCTTGCTAGTGTATGCGAGTGGTCGACCATTTTGCATGAAAACGACTCCAATTCCGACTCCAGATGCGTCGACCTTAATGATGAAGGGTCTATTGAAATCTGGTAGTGCAAGCACCGACGTCATTGTCATGGCTGCTTTAAGTTTGTCGAAGGCAGCAGAGGCTTTGTCCGACCATTGGAAAGCATCTTTTTTCAGTAAAGAAGTGAGTGGTGCACTGATCTTTCCATAGTCCTTAACAAATTTTCGATAGTAGCTCGTTAGTCCAAGGAACCCCCGCAGTAATTTCACATTTGTAGGTTTCAGCTAGCCTTGCATTGCCTCAATTTTTGTTGGGTCTACCGCCACTCCTTCTGATATTATATGCCCAAGGTACTCTACTTTTTGCTGGAGAAAGCTGCACTTTGGTTGCTTAACAAAAAGAGTATTCTCCCGAAGGATCGTCAAAACAATTCGTAAATGCTGAAAGTGAGTCTCAAGAGAAGGGCTGTAAACGAGAATATCATCGAAAAATACCAGCACAAATTTACGAAGAAAGCTTCGAAATATATCGTTCATGAGACTTTGAAAGGTT